CAACGCCTAAGCCAACAGACCCAATCTTGGCCCCCAATTTGGGGTTGTCTCCAAATAGGAAAGCCCTCCCGCCCCCCAAACAAAAAGCTACGCAGAACAACACTAGTTACAGTCACTAGTTGAACGGATGAATGCACGTCAGCGCGGAGGACGGACAGAACAAAAGGAAGCGGCCCAAGCCGCAGACAACTCTGCCAACTACAAAGGTAGAAGCCGAACAGGGGTCCCCGTAAAAGGACATGGTCTTCCAGGAACCTTTGCGCAGGTTCTACGTTTTGTTTTTTCTCCTGGAGGGTTCAGAATTTTGCTCCTTCCCTGGCCCTTCCTAGTGTGAAGTGCGACGATGCCTTGGCGACCTGGGGCATCATGGAGGAGCGGCGTTCGATTTGGTGGCCCCTGGGCGGCAAGCTTCGATGTGTCAGCTCAAGCGGTACAATCTGCTCAGATATGGTCCCAGACGGGTGGGCTGGGTGGGTGGGGTGGGTGGGGTGGGTGGGTTGGGTGGGATGTGTGGGGTGTGTGGGGTGCGTGGGGTGTGTGGGGTGGATGGGTAGGCAACCCCGCCTCCTCATTTGCTCTTTGCTCAGTTTGGGAATGTGCGCGGTTAGTCTGGAGTCTGACGATCAACGTTTGGGGGTTAACAGGCTGGGTGCCGGACCACGCTACATAGAATACTGGCGTTGCGGTACTGGGGAACACCTATTGTTTCTTCCCAGGATTCTTAGTGTCCCAACGCTAGCGGATCGCTCAGACACTTGCTCCGTCACTCAACTTGTTTGCCCTTATGTCCTTTGGTTTGACCTCAAAACCTTTATAACCGTTTGGGACGTAGCCAAAACCTGAAACTTATGTCCAGTACCTTGAAACCTTTAGCAGGGCCCAGTGCCAGTCCTTGTAGCTTTGGGGCCATGTGGCCCAGGATTTTGAGAGCCCAACAGAACAGTTGTTCCAGCGATTGCGATGTTTGCCGGCACGTGCTGGCCACAGTTTGGACTTCTTTGCATCGAACCTCTGAAACTTGGTGCGAACAGCAGGGAATGCCCCAGTGTTTTGGGAATGAACCGAAAGAAAATTCCCGAAAGGAAACCTAAGCGGGAATGGGTTTTCTCTGGGTGTCATTGCCTGCCTCATTCCCTGCCTGTCGAACCTGAAGGAAGGTTGACCAACATTCTTTGCGGTCCACGCGTGCTTCTTTCTGGTGGCAACCTCCTTTTTGGAGGCTTTAATGGGAAATCAACCCGAAAAACATCAACGCCGTTTTGGGGGGTCTGCTTAAAAAAATACACGCCCATAGACCCCACCCGCCAAAAAAAACAGCAAAAACAGGAGGCGGATGACGAGGTGACTTCTGGTCCTTTGGGAGGGGGAAAAGGAGTCCTCCAAGGCCTTGTTATGCAAGGCCAACTGGTTTTGAGCAATAAACCGGGTTGAGTCCTCGAATCCTTTGGTTTTGAAGCTCACTGGTTCATGGCTTCAAACAGTTCTTTGGTTTACGCTTGCTACAAGCGAGAAGATCCTGGCCTAAGCCTTCATGTGCCATGTTGTGGATTCCTGGTAGCTTGGGGAAGATGTTTCCTGGCCTCAGGAAGCCCAAGAAAAGAGTTATGAAGGACCGTCCCAATATGTTTCAATGGTTGCAGGCTTCCTCACTTCTGCCATGCTCCCGGATTTTGCGGGCCAAAGGGGTCAGCACGAGGCTGTTTAGCGTGGGGGGATTGAACCAGATGCAACGCTGAACGCAATGAGCTGGCTTTAGCACCAAGATGAGTAGTGGGATAGATCGAATTGGCTTCAAAGAGGCTACAAAGCCATTCCACTGTTTAGTTGCGTCTCATCCCTTCGCTTTTTTTTTTTAGTGGAAGGAGGCGCTGGACGAACGAGTAAACCTTGCTCCTAAGCCCACCTTCTCCACCTGGCAAGAAAAGCCTGTAGACAGCAGTCAGAGTTCAAGTATGTGTTTCGGCATAGGACTTAAGTGGAATACCAGGGATTGGTAAAATGGATTTAGAATGGAGCAAACATACACAACATTTTGGGGGGGGGTCCCGTTTTTGTATTGGAAGACGGTCGGCTCCCTATGCCTTTGATCACAGCTCTCAGGACAGCGCCGGCCGCTTCTGCGGGTCCTGCCACTTGGGCCCAAAGGTGATCTCAACTCGTGAAGATTCCAGTGGCGAGATCCCTCGTGGCTTGAACAAAAAAAGCCAGAGTGCAGATCATTCCCAGAAGCCGTGTTCTCAGTCTTCTAAATTGTGGTAGGAGGGAACTGCTCTGTCCATGATTCTAGGGGTTGGTTCCGAATGTCCATTCTTTTCAGCCATCGTTCTTGTCAAAAACCGGTCGCCATTTTGCCAGGGTTTTGGGTGGTTTTCTAGAAAGAAGGATCCCTGCCCTAGAAACATCATTGGCCCCAACGGGCCCCCTTGTTTCTGGCCCCCCTTGCGCCCAAACATCAAGCGGTCGGTATTTCTTGATGTGTCGACTTGGTCCTTTGTTCTTGATGGAGCCTCAATCGTGGCATGAATAGGAATCTCGTGCCACGGCACCCAGCACCTTAGGCGTCCAGGTGGCATTCGCGGAAACTATTTTGGAGGAAAGGCGATTCAGGTGCAGAAAGGAAGCTGACTTTTATGTGCGCCTCCGACACCCTGCCACTGCCGCACATCGTCCAAGGAATACATGTGCATTCTCTTTCTGGCTATGTGGTTGGATCTTCGGACTTTAACTTTTGGGGAAACAGTGGATTGTGCATTGGACCCACAACAGGTTAATTTTGTTTGCAGAGGGGTCAACAGCAACCAAGTTCTAGGGGTTCTCTTTTCGGATTGTTGACTTTTCACTTCTTCACGCATGACGGACATCTGACGGCATCAAAGCAGGGTGCCTTTATTCTGTTTTCTTTGTAGATCACCCTGTTGAGAGCCTTGCTGAGAACGATACCGACCAATGACTCACCTGAATCTGTGATACATCACGATCTTCCTGCCAATTTGTGGGTTAGTAGTGGACATCATTTCACCAGCAACTTGTGCTTCAGGAATTCTAACATCGGATCAGATTGAGATGGTCGTGTCTTTGTTTGAGGGCGCCTGTTTTTGGGTTGGCTTAAAGGGAAACCAACAGTGAAAACCGAAGCCATGTTGGGTGGTTCACATATATGAAGACATACCCAGATAGTCCCTGCTTATTCGGGCCTGATGAAACCAAACAACAGGTGTCAGCTTCGACACATTGAAAATTCGGGCAGCGCGCAAACAAATCCGAAGTGTCCATTTTCTTGGGAACCAATGTTTTGTTTGGTTTGAAGGGCAGTCACAAGGACCACACCACGTTTCATCTCTTCTTTTTTGTAGGGGTCTCCCCTAAAGGAGAAGACACCCCCATAAATCTAAACCCTGAGGTGAACCTCACCATGCTCTCAGCAAGCTCCTACGGGCCCGTGGACTTTTATCAGATCACCCTGCACCCTTCGGCGCGGGAACTCTGAGCTTTGAGTTTCAAGATCCGATGGCCAAGGTGACAGGCGGTGACTTCTGAAACCTTTTGGCTTCACTTGCCATGTTTGGCTGGTTCTGTTCATTTAAACTGGGGGCTGCAAACAACAGCTGTCACATAGGGGTGACCAATATTCCCTGAGAGGGCCGCCAGTTTTGACCATCGGTCACTTTTCCACTGTGGGAAATATCAAATTGTTTGGTTCCGCAATGGTCATCCCATGTTTACGGGACCTTTTGATCAACCACATGAAACCTTCAGGCACAGGCATGCTTCCAAATCTTCAAGCGGTCTTTGCTGCTCGGCTGTCACATGGCTGGATCGATCCCTGGAGGAGAAACCTCAGCTTAGATGTTGGTCAAGGGAAACCAACAGAGAGCCAAGCATTTGTAGACGTCCTGGCATTTTGGGACCCTCTATGTTCCCCAGACTGCCTGCATTTTCTCTGCAGCGCAAAGGCCTGCGTGCAAAAAGGTGCTGCACGGACTTCCTTTCGGCCGCTGAACTCTGACCCATCGAAAGGACCATAAGCCGGACAGGAAGTTCATCTTGTTTTGTCCTGAGGCCAAGACAGGTGACGCATCCCCACCCCTCGTGAAGAAATGGAATTGGGGGAGGGGGGTGACCGACCCATCGAGATCAATTGGTGGCTCCAGTTTCCCGCTTGTGGGGAAGACTGGGAAGACTAGATAAATGTAACCGGGGGTTCCCACCACACCCTCCCCCTTAAGGTGTGAGCGACATAGGGATTTTTGTGTTCACGTCTCCAACTTTTTCAGAATCCAAACTCGTTTGGCTGACTGCCGAGTCAGCTTTGGGTCCTCAACGTGCGGGGTTTGCTGGCAACTCGGGAGTATTGGACTTGCAAATTGCGATAATATGCGGTGAGGCCAATGCTGGCTCAGGGGTTGATTGGTTTGGGCTCATTATGTTGACTGTGGTTGGTTCAGAAACTGGAATTAATTCCCTGGAACCTTGCGCTTGCGTGACTTTGACCATGACAACTGGGATCCCAAGTAGTGGGGATCAGGGCGGATCAGGCCTCACTGCTTGGCTACCTATGCGCTGAAACTTGGTTTTTGCAAGCCACTATTGTAGATGAGCTGCACTCAAGCGCATCGTTTGATCATCATCAACTTGGACCTGCTTGATTATTTTTGTGGTCAGCCTTTGGGGTTTAGTACCGCTGGGGTAGTGGTGGCAGTTGTTTTTCTCTTTCCGCATTGTATTTGGCGGACCGTTTTTAACGACAGTGGCGGCGATGTGAAAAATGGCAACTTGGACCTGACTTTTCTCCACAGACAGAGTTGAATCCAATGTTGCGAGTGAGGGTTGTCAGGCCTCTCTTTTTGTGTGTGGTGAACCCGGGACGAAGCACTCATAACTACCTGGACCCTCAAACTACCCAGACATGGAACTCCCCCCAGTCTTGGGGCAACTCTTTTTGCAGGGTCTTCCGGGTATATCACCCAGCGACGAGATCGGGTCTTGCGCGCGCGCGGCAGGCTCACCTCTTTGCAGGGGCCCCAGAAGGGATTCGACAGGGGAAATTGGATGGGGCCTTTATGAAGATGGACCCTTTGCACATTAACTAGGTGGGGGTGAAATATGTCCACGAACCACTTTCTAGGGGCTTCCGAATGTTCAATTCAGAAGGCCAACTGAGCCAAAACCTTCCCCTTACCATAAATGGGTACGTATATCCACCCTTTGATTCTGGAAGCATGGTTCTGGGTGGACCATTTTCATACCAG